GTTTTAATACTGATGATTTTGGCATACAGCTCATGAAAACCCAAAATTCCTGTCTCAAAAAATTAGCATATCATGAAAAGGGTCTCTAAACGAGCTATTAACCTAGTCATCTGAATCAACTAATTAACTCTAAACACCTGCAAAAGATTCCTGAGGCTTTTAAAAACTCCCAGCCTGTTTCATTACTCAAAACCGCAATCATGGGTAAGACTGGCGACCTGACTGCTGTCCAGAAGGCCATCATTGACACCCTCAAGCAAGAGGGTAAGACAGAAAGAAATTTCTGAACAAATAGGCTGTTCCAAGAGTGCTGTATCAAGGCACCTCAGTGGGAAGTCTGTGGGAAGGAAAAAGTGTGGCAAAAAACGCTGCACAACGAGAAGAGGTGACCGGACCCTGAGGAAGATTGTGGAGAAGGACCGATTCCAGACCTTGGGGGACCTGCGGAAGCAGTGGACTGAGTCTGGAGTAGAAACATCCAGAGCCACCGTGCACAGGCGTGTGCAGGAAATGGGCTACAGGTGCCGCATTCCCCAGGTCAAGCCACTTTTGAACCAGAAACAGCGGCAGAAGCGCCTGACCTGGGCTACAGAGAAGCAGCACTGGACTGTTGCTGAGTTTTGCATGTCATTTGGAAATCAAGGTGCCAGAGTCTGAAAGAAGACTGGGGAGAAGGAAATGCCAAAATGCCTGAAGTCCAGTGTCAAGTACCCACAGTCAGTGATGGTCTGGGGTGCCATGTCAGCTGCTGGTGTTGGTCCACTGTGTTTTATCAAGGGCAGGGTCAATGCAGCTAGCTATCAGGAGATTTTGGAGCACTTCATGCTTCCATCTGCTGAAAAGCTTTATGGAAATGTAGATTTCATTTTTCAGCACGACCTGGCACCTGCTCACAGTGCCAAAACCACTGGTAAATGGTTTACTGACCATGGTATTACTGTGCTCAATTGGCCTGCCAACTCTCCTGACCTGAACCTCATAGAGAATCTGTGGGATATTGTGAAGAGAAAGTTGAGAGACGCAAGACCCAACACTCTGGATGAGCTTAGGGCCGCTATCGAAGCATCCTGGGCCTTCATAACACCTCAGCAGTGCCACAGGCTGATTGCCTCCATGCCACGCCGCATTGAAGCAGTCATTTCTGCAAAAGGATTCCCGACCAAGTATTGACTATTGAGTGCATAACTGAACATAATTATTTGAAGGTTGACTTTTTTTTCTTTTTTTAAAAATAAAAACACTTCTTTTATTGGTCGGATGAAATATGCTAATTTTTTTAGACAGGAATTTTGGGTTTTCATGAGCTGTATGCCAAAATCATCAGTATTAAAACAATAAAAGACCTGAAATATTTCAGTTGGTGTGCAATGAATCTAAAATATATGAAAGTTTAATTTTTATCATTACATTATGGAAAATAATGAACTTTATCACAATATGCAAATTTTTTGAGAAGGACCTGTATATTGTTTATTATATATATATATATATATATATATATATATATATATTGTAGCTGCTTAAGCAATATAAATTGTAGCAGTGTTATTGTTAACTGAAACTATAAAAAATAATTTTCATTAATTGAAAGAAGCTGAAATAAAACAAAATATAAATATTAGATGAAAAGCTGAAACTGAACATTTTAAATGATTCCTTTTCAACTGACAGAAATAATACATTTAAGTTGAAGTTCTAAAATTATTAAAACTGAAATAAAAATAAATAAATTACAGTTTAATAGAAATAATTACAAAAAAAACAATGAAAATGACTAAATGAAAACAGAAAATATTAAATAAATTAAATAAATAATACTATAAGAACACTGAAATGTAGTAATGTTTAAGCAATATAAATGAAGTAATATTGCTTTTTTTATTACAGGCTTATAAATTAAAAACATTTGCAGACACTTGCATATTTTTCTGTAATATGTTAAGAACCCTGCACCATGTAATGTCTGTACAATATTTAAAGGTGAGTGTTGTGCTGCTCTGTTTGCGCTGTGGCCACCAGGGAGCAGCACCGAGCTCGGTTTCACACAAACATATCCAGAGATAAGACACTTCATATTCTCCTAGAAACAATGCATGTTTTGTGTTTGCCTGATATGATTTTTCTGGTGACTCTACCAACCTCTCTGGAGGTCTGTGAATGCCATGCAGGGGTCCTTGGACATATGAAAGATTGCATTTTCTTTATATACATAATTTAAATATTGTTTTAAATATTTTGGTACATTTAAAGATCTGTTAAGCATTATTGAAAATAATAATGGTCAGTTGTGGTCATTTAATTCTGTAAATTAATAAATAATCGTGTTGTCCTCCTACCTGCAGGGGGCAGCGGCAGTGGACGGGCGTCTGAAGCGTGGAGACCAGCTGCTGTCGGTCAACGGAGAGAGTCTAGAGGGCGTCACACACGAGCAGGCCGTGGCCATACTGAAGAAGCAGCGGGGAAGCGTCACGCTCTCTGTGCTCTCCTAACAAACACTACATCTACTGAAAAACACACATTCCTTTCACACATCTTAAAGAGACTCTGTCAGCAACGGCCGTTATTCGGCCACTTTACTTCCTGATATGGAGACTGTTTGCACTCAATCGTTTAAACTGCGCCTGTTACTGTTTGTGCACCTGCTATTGAAATCGATTAGAAAAATACACATAAAGGGAATTTATTGTATCGTCTTTGTCTTAGTCATGGACCTGTAGCCTCTCCACTGGCGAATGTGAGCGGTGAATTATTATTTTGATGAAATGAGTGCTGGTAACTCAAGACCAGGAGGAAGAATTACAGTAGTAGACACACTAACACACACTTTATTAGTGATATCATTTCAATGCACATATGTCAACTTTTAGTGTGGTTGTCCTGATTTTGTTTCGTGTTGTTTAAAACGAATACATACTCGACAAACCCGCCTTATTTTCAAGAAATCAGATGGATTTTTCCATTAAATGTAGAGTGTAGATGTATTCATGAACGAGCGTTAATAAGGGACGATAGACGAGCCTTGAAACAGGCAGATCAGACTGTGTTGGGATGTTTTGTTTAGCTAGTATTAGATATTAGTATCATTTCAATCAAATTCTTTACATTGCAGGGTAGTTTTGTGAGTATTTCAAAAACTGGTATGACTGACTTCTGTGCAGCTTAAAATGAGATATTTTGCAGAATGTTCACGCTGCTCTTTGCCATGTAATGAAAGCGGATGGAGACTGGAAGTTTTGAGCTTCAGAAATGACAAAAAATAACCATTAAAGTATCTCAAAAGTTGTTCATATTACTCGTGCGCTACAGTTCAACTATTTGGAAGTCGTATGCTTGCTTTTTGAGAGGAATAGACTGACATTTTTTTCAGTAAAATCTTCAGAATTTCAGACAGTTCTGCACACAAAGCTATCATTGTAAGTCGTTTTTCACTTACAATCTTTCCTGAAATTAAAATTTCACACAAAGCTATTATATGGCTTCAATATTTTTGTCCTTTTTGGAGCGTGACTGTCCCAGTCCCCATTCACTTTCATTGTCTGGGAAAAAGCAGCTTTAGCATTCTTCAAAATATGTCCTTTTAGGTTCCACAGAAGAAAGTAAGCCATACGGGTTTGGAATGACACAAATAATGACCATTTTAATTTTTGGGAGAGCTAGTCCACTGTATCATGTTGCTATTGTGTATCGAGATATCAAAAATGACAGAAATCCTTATGAATAACATAGTTTTTTATTACGTTTTTGTAATTCCATTTGTAATTCAATTGCACACCTTTGTCATTTCATTGTAAATATGTAATTTATTTCCTTTTTAGGGTGTTTTTGCATCACTTTTGTCTTCATGAAGATGTCTCGCATATCCTAGTTTGACACCGTGTGTGTCTGTGTGTCACAATATGAGGATATCCTGTGTCAGTCTCTGTCCTAGAGGAAGTGTAGCAGGCTCTTGAGAGACTATCAGACCTCTCCAGGTTGTAGACAGCATATGGAAGCCTCGTCCAGACCGTCTCCTCTGCTAGGATTTCGTAAGCACATCCTCATACTATGCCTCTTGAATTCTCGTGCCATGTGGACAGTGTGTTCTGAACTGTCCAGCGCTGTGTCCCTTTAAAAAGATTGCCTGTCTTCCCCTTTATCCTTCAAGAAAATGCAACGCCCCAGTCTGCTACCTTCCACTAGATCTTTACACTTGGGCTTAAATCATTTGGATTCTTCAACTCGCACTCAGCTGACTCAGCGGTCGAGGTTAACGCTGTAGTAACACCGTTATATCCGCCATTTTTCTGTCAGTGTAATGTTTTTAAAGTCCAAAGAAACCTTTTAGTTAAATTCATACATTAGATACAGATCTAAGCCCGAAATAAAGCTGATTTATTAACATTTACAAAAGTGGTCATTATGGTCTGTGGCTTTATTTTGGACGAGTAGAATTTATCTAAAGTGTCAGAAAATAAAGTTATTTCAATTTTAAGCTTCTTTTGACTTCTAAATTCTTATGTCTGTGGGGGAAAAAAATATAAAGAGAAATCTATACCCGTTTCAAATCTTTACCTGTAAAATTATTTTTTTTAAATTTAGGTTTTATTTGAATTTTTAAGGCAAGAAAAACCTTTACACCAGCCATTTCTGCATTAGTTACACTACTATTTTAATGTATGTGGGGTCAGTAAGATTTTTTTTTTCTTTGAAAGAAATAAATTTATTGAAAAAGGATGCATTAAATTGATCAAAAGTGACAGTAAAGACGTATAATGTTACAAAAGATTTCTATTCCAAATAAATGCTGTTCTTTCTTTTCATCAAAAAGTGTCGTGGTTTCCACAACTTTTTTTTAAACATTAATAGAAAATGTTTCTTGAGCAGCAAATTAGCATATTGGAATGATTTCTGAAGGATCATGTGACACTGAAGACTGGACTAATGATGCTGAAAATCACAGCATTTTAAAATATATTCAAATAGAAAGCTGATGTTTTGAATTGTAATAATATTTCACAATATTACTGTTTTTACTGTATTTTTTATCAATAATTGCTGCCTTGGTGAGCAGAAGACACATACTTCAAAAACATTAAAATTCCTAACGTCCAAAAAGTATATTGATGTTTTATTATTTTTTAAAGAGGCTTGCACAACAAATATCTGTAAGATACTGAATGTCTAATATTATATAATGCTCATAATTGGTACATCAACAAATGCCCTTTAGAATGAACTACGGTTCATGTATAGTGGATTATTTGTAAAGAAATCTACAAAAATCACTGCTAAACTTTCATACAAGAAAGAGCTGTGACAGCTATTAAAATGATAACTTATTACAACAGAACACAAGGTTAACATGTTGTGCTGACTCAGCTAATAGTGGACATTTCCTTGAAATTACATTGCGGTCACTTTTTCGTCAGTTTGGAAAACGATCACGCTCTCATATGCGTTAGGTTCGTCGCTGCTCCTGAAAAACAAGTGTCAATTCCAGTGTTAATAGCATTTTAAAGGGAATATTCACTCCTTTGCCATTAATTTTAATCCTTAACATTATATTAAACATAATCAGATGAGGCATTTCTTCAGGTTGATCAGGCCATATAAACCGTTCTCATGAGCAGTATCAGTAATGATAGTATATCTGTTTTCCCCAGGAATGTCTATTTATATAATCACTCTGAGCTTTATTACAGCTGTATTGGTATTATTACCTGACTGCGTCAAGACTGGTTTCATGGGTTGATGATCCATTGGTCATGGCGTATTCATTGGGTACGACTGCTTCTGATTTACTTTAGTCAAAAAGAAAAACGGATTAAAATGTGGTGTTTACACACATATTTGGAAACTAGTGTACTAGCCTATATAGATCAATAAACATGAATTACTTTATAATAACTTTCATTTCAAACATATTATTAATGAGAAAAATTAAGGAATATAATTTATACACTTTTAACAAATAAAGGTTCTTTATTGCCTTTTTATGGTTCCACGAAGAACCTTTAACATCCATAGAAACCTTTCATTGCACAAAAGGAAAAGGGTTCTTTAGATCATTAAAATGTTCTTCACACCAAGACAAAAAGGTTCTTTTAAAAACTGTTTGTGGAAAGGTTCTTTGGAGAACCCAAAGAATCACTGTGAACAATATGATCGATAAGTTGATCAATTGACAATATGATGACAACATATGTTTTTACATTGTTTTAACTCTATCATTGTTTAACTAGATTCAACTCGGTTTAATGTAATTTAAGTTGAAACGACTTAAACAGCCAAGTTGATTGTACTTAACTTTAAGGCACCCAAAAATGAAAATTCTGGCAATATAGGCTATGCATCGCCATGATTGACTTTCCTATGCGAAACATATAGGCCTATATTTAAAAAAAAACAGAAGAAGGTCATAGAGGTTTGGAACAACCTTATGGGTGAATAGATTGACAGAACTGTCATTTTTAGCCAAACTCTGTGCCCTTAATATTTAAAATGATCCTGATTTCAGTGTGGCCTGAAATATAGACGCAACAGATTACCTTGGAGTTTCACACCATGCTTTGTTTACAAGGAAGGCGATGAAGATGAGAAAGAGGAACACAGCAACGGCAATGATTCCTGTAAGCCAGTTGGGCAGAGTTTGCTCTGCTTTCTCTAAAAGAGACACATGATAAAACTGTACGTTAAAATACCTAAAACTATTGAAAACCTCACTTTAAATGCTTGGTGATGCTTTTTTTCTATATTTCCATCCCAAAAAATATATGTAAAGGCTGTACCTGCTTGAGCCGCAGCTAGTCCCAGTGTGAGCAGAAGCCAGTGAAGCACAGCGACTGGTTTCCCCATGTTTATTCCTCTTTAGATTCGCAAAAATGTGTTTACATGTGAAACGCTCAGACCTGTATCCCTGCTTTTCTCTAACCAGGAAACAGTTATCTGAAATTCAATGGAAGAAAAAGACAACACCCAGTGGTCCATACAGGTCGAGTCAATCATTTACCCACTGCATCGCATAGGGATAAGAGAGATGTGACGGGTGCGTGTGATTATGCACATCTGATTCAGCTGTTATCAGTCATATCTGATATCAACATAAATGTTCATGGCTTCCATAAATACTGCTGTTTTGTTCTCAAGATGACGGTAGAGTTGTTAATCCAGTGGAGGAAGTCCTACCCCACCGTGCAGATTTAAGAAATGAAGACGCTACATAAGCCGCTAATGTGAGTCTTTAGATTCCCGCGATTACGGAATTTGTCTGGTAAGCATTCCACGGTTTTCAATTAGTAACCGATCATTGAAGACACATTAAACCCACCAGTGCCACTTTGCTCCTGTGGAAGTTACAGTTTAGCTATAGAGTAAAACAAGCAAGCTTTATAATTGACTCTGATCTGTGTTTTGACCGCTACACTTCAGGTGTCTTTTAATTATTTAATAATTTAACAGTCCGGAGTTAATTATTCCACATTTAGCGTACCGTGTTTATCCAACGCTATCTCACGACCAATTTGTACGAATTCGTACGAGTGATTAAAAGGTGGCTAATTCAAACGACCTCACTCGTACGAATTTGTACGATTTGTCTAAAACCACGTGATGGGTATAGGTTTAGGGGCGGGGGTAGGTCATTCGTACGAATTCATACCAATTTGGTAACTCGTAAAATATGTACGAATTAGCAAAAATCGTACGAATTTGTACGAGTGAGGTCGTATGAATTAGTACGAATTAACCACCTCAGGACATTTTTAGGTTTTCATCCCTGAGAAGCGTTCCTGCAAGGTGAACGGAGGATGGTGTACACCACCAATGTCATTGGTTTGATTCTCGGAAAAAGCAGGAACTGATAAAACATTGAATTGTAAGTACATTCACATGCATAAATGCAAGTATTACTGTGAACTCTTTAAAATAAAGGTTCTTTATTGGCATCTATGGTTACATGAAGAACCTTTAACATCCATGGAACCTTTCTATTCCACAAAAGGTTCTTTATAGTGGAAATAGGTTCTTTAAAAGTCTAAGAATGGTTCTCACTGAAAGGCTCTTTGAGGAACCAAAATGTTACTTCCATGGCAACGCTGCGAAAATCCAGTTATGGCGTGTGCACACACTACACATTTAACACTTTTGTTTGTGTAATTATTGTAATGCATTACATTATAAATGACTGTATGATGTGATCACAGTGTGTTCCTTAGTGAAAGCAAATGCATACTGTGCAAAATCGTTTTTGTACCATATATTATACCCAATACTTTGGTCCTAACTGTCCTCAGACCAGGGGTGTCAAACTCAGGGTACGTTTACACAACAATGATGTACTAAAAACTGAAACGTTTTTTTCTTTGCATTTTTTGCATACTGACAACACCATTGTCAAAATGCTCCCCGTTCACACGGATCCCAAAAACGACTAAAAATGCTGTATTACTCATGCCAGGCCAGTAGTTGGCGATGTCACTTTGTAAAGAAACACTTCGCGCCTATAGACTGAAATCGTAATACAAATGCACATGACGTCACAGTTTTTTTTCACAAATTCGCGTTTTTGTAGTTTACACAGATACGATAACTTTGAAACCCGTTTTCAAAAGCTTGCGTTTTTACGCCCCCGAAACAGTTGTCGTGTAAATGAACACATAAAAAGTTTTACGTTTTTAGTTGTCGTGTAAACGGCCTCTCGATTTCTGGAGGGCCACTGTCCTGCAGAGTTTAGCTCCAACCCTAATTAAACACTCCTGAACCAGCTAACCAAGGTCTTCAGGATTACTAGAAACTTCCAGGGAGGTGTTTTGGAGCTAGACTCTGCCGGACAGTGGCCCTGCAGGAACGGAGCTTGATACATGTGATCGACACGACTGTAACGCCATATTTCTGACCCTGCCGTAAATTTGTCGGAGGCTAAGGTTTATCGCTAAGGCTAGGTGAATAAGTCAGACTAAGCCATCAGAGACAGTAAAAATCTTTTACGACCCCCAAGATTTGTCTGAAGCAGCAAAATTATAGTGTTAATTCGGCTTTGGGACAGGCGTACACAGTGCAAGTTCCGACAATCAGGAATTCATGAGCCCTTGCGCACATTACGAGTCATTTTACGTACCCAGAATCTTACACGTCACAACTGTACAACCTGAAATATTGTAGCTCGTTTGACGTTGTTTAAAAATTACCGCAAAAATTGTTTGTCAGCCTCTTGAACGATGCAAACCACAACTACAGAAGAGACATTTCTCTCAAAGAAAAAGACCTGTCGGCACGACAAAAAATTGCCATTGTTTGAACACCGCAAACTTCTATGCAGCTGCCAAACCGGGAACTGCACAAAATTACATTTATGGTGTAAATATTTCAAAAACATGTTCTATAGAGCGTTAAATAATTCACTCAGACAACACATCGTTGTTAAACACCTCGCTTGACTCTCCAACAACAAGTTGATGAATGACTAGTTTGTTTGAACTTGAGGGCATTGCAGACCGTCTTCGTCCTCTCTTATTAAACCACAATAGAGAGAGTGCACATGAAGAGAGCGCTCTTGAGGTGAAGAGTGACAGAGCAAATGATTAACAGACCACAACAGTGAAAAAGAGGTGGAGTTGGATGAAGACCACGATCCGCCCCTCAGGACTCAAGGGACACATGAGCGTCTCTCAGCCCAGAGGAAATTAGCACTGCTTGAAATGCGCACTGCCCTCTCATTAACACCTCATATAAAATACCGGCCCGCTCCCCAAGGGAGCCACTTCTGCCGATGGTGTGGTAGATAGCCATGAGAGACCCCAGTGGAGACTCTTTCCACTGGCCCGTCCTGCCTCTGAGAACCAGACCTTTGGGAGGTTCACTAGGACTGTCCTTGTCCCGGAAGGAGGGGCGTCTTAATTGAATACTCTCTCCCCTTGTCTAGTTATCTCCGGGTAATGGTGGTCTTTATCAGTCGGTAAGCATGTCCTTTTGTTGTGACGGGGCTCCTTTGAGATCCATCCAGGTTGAAGCTCGGTAGCCCCTGTTTGGGGCCACTGGTGGGAAAAGGGCGGATAGCGACTACACCGCAGTTAATTAAAAAGGGAAAAGATGGCGACAAAAATCCCTGATTGAATCCGTACAACCAGCCCACCATTTCAAGAGTGAGCGCATTGGCATTTGAGATGAATGAAGGGACTTAATAGAATTAGAGTGTTTTGATGGTGTGTTTAATCTCTGCTGGGATACACAGTACACACAGGCCTGTGCATCATGTGGCTTTAGTATTCATGGGAAGCGGACACCATTGAAGATCTTACTAATCTTCAATGGACAAATAGAGCGGCAGAACATGATATTGAGCCCACAGTTTAATTGTTAATAGTGAGATTTACAGATACATTAAACGTGTGTTACGTCTAATAATTTTGACCTGTAATGTAACTTAAGTCTTACTAAAATGACAATTTTGTCATGATTTACTCAACTTTGACTTTATTTATTCTGTGAAACAAATGTTATTTTCCAGATTGTATGGACTGCTCTTTTCCATTCAATGATAATTATATAAACACAATCAAAGGGATTATTATGGATAATATTAATTTATTGCGACTGTTTTGTTTACTCAAAGTAAATAAATAAATAAATATTGGTGAAATAAAAAAGTTAATTTATAAATATGATTATAAATACTATAATAATATTGTAAATATTTTTTATTTAAAAATATATTGTTATATAATATTATACGTTTTAATATTCATTGATATTAACATTGATTGTGGTTTTTCGTGAAGATTTTTGTAAAATCACCATAATTAAATATTATGATGATTTTTTGGTTTTGGTTCACAATTACTAAAGAATTTAATTAATGAATTATATATATTTTTTTGTGGTTTTTATCAAATATAATTCAAAAATATATATTTTATATTCTTTATTTATTTATTATTTATTTATTAAGCAGCATAAATGAGTAAATGATTTTATAAATTTTATTTATGGTGATTTTTGTCATTTTTGGAAATCAACGTATACATTTATGGAACAAAATTAGTAAATGATGACCAAATTTTTTTGTTAGTTAAGCTATTCATGTTAAATACTGTAAAAGTCATGAAATACTATCAATATTTCTCTCTCTCTCAGAGCTAATTTTCCATCCTCATATTGAACTGCCACAACACAGATTGTAAACGGTGTATTTGTGATGGCACACTATACCTCCTCTTGATATGACACTCATTTAATGGCATAAAAGCTCCATTTCTTTTGTCTAAATGTCTCTCATGTCCTTTAGCTGATGGGACGGAAAGCGTTTGACAAGGTCGAGCACGTATGTGGGTGTGGGTGTGGATCAGTGATCGGTCTGGGAACTGCCCTTGGATCAGTTTTTCACAGTCCCTGCAGGCCCCATGGGGCTAGTAGACCCACCAATGACTTTTTCATTGGCTTTGATTCTTATCAGCCTTTCAGACTCATATTCCCAGGGTTTAGACACCCATAGACACCCTGCTATGACCCTGACTGTCCTTACACCCTCAAAATCTTAAAACAAGACAGGCCTTTTCTGTGTTTCTGACGTATTAAGCACCAACAGTATATGTCTTAGACGGAATCTAAATCTTGTTGAAGGTATTTCATGTTATCACATCCCGCTGTATTCGTTTTTCATGTCGGGGATTTAACATTTTGTTCCTTTCATAAAAGTACATTGTATTTTTTCTTTAAGCCATGACTCGCATGAGTGACTTGACAGTATTTTCATATATCTTTTTTTTTTTTCTATTTAATCCCTGTGTTTTTGACACTTCGTAAAACGCTCCACTGGATGGATATTTCTTTCCTTCTCTACCTTTACGGTTGTCATGACAACAGAAACGGCTATTATATTTTATATGAACGAACAAATACTCATGATATCTGACCTGATCTGAATTGTCTATTACATTTTTCATAACAACAGCACACATTTTCAGGTTTGTGTTTTTTATTTTTGTGGGTTTTTATATAAAATTTGTGAGATATAACATTGCATATATT